TTAGGGATATTCACCTTATCCGTCCGGGAACCGCATATGTAATTTTACCTTAATTAAATTACGAGAAATTAGAGACAAACATGGCGTTCCGAAACCAAACCAAGCCATTGATGGCAACTTATGCGGTATTAAACTTTCTCGGTCACTTGAGATCGGTGATCGGCCACTAAAAAACAGAACAAAAAACGAAAAAAAAAACGAAGCGACTGATGATTGTGATGTGGTGTGATTTCTTCTTCAATTGATTGCAGCATCTGGCTTCATTGTGTCCGCCACGCAACGGTACAAAAACAAACTTGCACCATTTTTGGATTTCTATCACATTAACCGTGCCGTTATAAGTCACATACCTAATACACAAGACGAATCGCATCCATGACATTAAGTTTAGTGAAATCCAATCATTATGGATAAGACAGCATTAATCGCCTAATTCCTCGAAGAATAACTAAGAGAAAAGCAGATAGAGACATCGGTATTTTGGGTACATGCCTTTATCGAAACGAACATTCGTTTCGATGAAGACATTTGCCCAAAATATTAGCATGTCCATTTGTCTATTCTCCTGGTTATTCTACGGGGAATGAGGCTAGTAATACTCTCTGATCTACATGCATAATGTTCCTCGCAACTGTACTTCACTTGCCAAATACAATTCAGGGAGATCTCACAGGCATCGTGGTTACCAGGTAGCTGAAGGGGTTAAAGCCATTCTGGTTTGAGGCAGACTGGGCTCTGGTTATACCCTCAGGAGAAAGAATACAAATCACGGAACAAAACAAGATATGCCGTTTTTATGACATTCAAAGACTCAAGAAACGAAACAGGTGACTGCCATTTCTTTTGAAACCATAGTAGATGACGTTAGTCGAATGGTAAGTCTTTCAGGCTGCTCAAGCAATGAGACATTACGCTGCTGTCACATTGCTAGGCCTTTCTGTGTCTGCTTAAAGAATGACTCATTCCGTACAAAATATACTGTTATTTACTGTCCCTGGAAAGTGTGAAACATCGGACGTTATTCCATGACTGTTATCGCTCTCAGGACTGACGGGTAATTTAGATAAAAAACTATAGGAGCGATGTTCAGCTAGAAATCATTATAGAGATATAAAACTATGTTTTTCATAAGGATGACTGTGTTTATAAAGTTGGTCTGTTGGTTATAAGCATGGTCATGTTTGTGCTGGCAACTATTATGCCATGTCTCCTCCCACCAAAACTTTTCGAAACTTTAAGGAAGATTGGGTGGCATATCTGAAGCAGACGCGACAGAACAGTGTTACGTAACCTGGCCGGGTCCCTGTTACTAGGCTTGCAGTACTTGCAGCGCTAACTCGCATAGACATGGTCCACGACGAATGATCCTTGCATCGAATGGCCTTAAAAACCTGCCTTCCTCCATACGACTGTAATATTAACAATAATGTCGCGGCCAGCCTACAACACACTTGACTGATCCATACCGCTGCTAGCCCAGGCATCGCATGACAGTAAATTTCTGTGAACGCAATGATTCCCTTCAGCTAAAATCTAAAACGTTCCTAAAACGCATTAACAACGTTCTCAGCGCAATAATTTTTCGTGAAAATGGTTATTTTTATCGTTTGCAAATGACAGACGCATCAATTAAGGTAAAACATGGTTAACGAACGTAAATTCAGTTTCAATATAGCAGTCCCAAGTATGTGAGTCAACAGAATGAGAATACGCTAGACAAAAACTGAGCAATACTTAATAGTGCGAATATGTCTCGGTGAGTGAACATATTAGAAAAGAGATAGAGGTCATGCGAGATGAGAAATATATCAAACCTAGCAAGCCTTAGTAGTGCTGAGGTAACCTGGCGCTTCAGAAGCCGGTCATACGATAGAACATATGTTTCACGCAACATCAGATACATTTTTGTCCACGCACACAAACTTGATGCGCCCCAAAACTGCCTATGAAAAAGGCCCGTTGCTCTTATCTTTCAATATAGCAGCACGACTAGAAACCCGCAATGACGCTTCAACATGATTCCCAGGATGAATTATTATGGGACCCGCCATTACCTAGTAAACCGAAATCAACAAATTCTTCCGGTGTTCATGATGCAAGGGTGAAATTATGTCGAAACTGTCCGGTAGTCCCTGTAACAATGCCATGAATTGTGTGCCTCATTTACTCATTGACCATTTAGACAGAGGTAGATTATTTGCAGCATTGTCTAAGCTTAAAAACGATAATCTGCATGCGACCACATGGAGGCCGGCCCATCTCACAGCACACCGTCCATCGGTAATTATTGCTTGCATTTGGGTCCATCGCCGCGGTCCGGTCCTTCGTTGTCGCAATTTCGGCGGGCCCACAGCCATCCTCCAATGGTAGACCCTCCGTAATCTGCTTTGTGACTTCGGCTCCCAGTCCGCCTCGTGGAGTCTCCAGGACATTGAAAATCATTGAAATAATCCTTGAACGAGCTCAGCAGATTTGACGACTCGTCTTTGAGCGGATCGAACCCGTGGAAAGGTCGTCACGTGACTAGTCCAACAAACTTAGAAATCATCATCGTTGCTATATGCAATAACTGCTCCTGATATAAAATCAGAAGGAATAAACATATCTGTCAGATGCAATAATCGTTGAAGTGACTTTTGTACAGATATGCGTAAGCCCTCTTACTCGTGTCTTTCTAGAAGTGTTGATCCGCACGCATCGGAGCCAATGGCCTCAACATTCTGCAACCTTCGGCTTGGTTCTTTAGATTAGAGCACTTCCGACCAGTAATGCAAATTTCAGGACTATGAAATGAAGGAGAATGAATAACGATGAGGCAGGACAACATGCGCCTGAGAGGCCAACCACAGAGCTTTAGCCCGCGCAGGAACCCCTCGGAGTGTGCACTGGGCACCCGGTCGGGGTCCCTTTCTCGAGGGGCCTCTCGGTCCACTCGTAGCTCACGCATGCAGCCTGTCCCAGACAAGCGGGGCGTGGCGAGGATTTAGCACAAAGCAAGAAAGCCGATAAGCGGGTTCGATGCGTTTGACCTCCCATAACATTTTTAACTTGCATCGTGGGTACATGCTGAGATCCACGAGCAGTGACTCCCTCCCCCGCGAGTCCTGGTTACGTGTATAATCATTTGTATGTATTCTGTGCCGCGAATCAAGCGCCTTCCATCCACCAGCCGATGCATACCACCTTACGCATGGAAAACAGACTAGTCCGTGCCCTTACACGCTCAATGCGGGGCTGGTGCTGCCACCTGTGGACCAATCACAACTTCAAGCAGAATGGTCACATACGTTAACTTGTGCCAGCATCATGGCGCCAAATGGCCCCAAAACTTACCAGAATATGCAACAACCACATCATGCATCTACCTGAAATGCAGTGCATACAACGTTAACCATGCTGCTGCAGATGTCAATATGCACCAAAAACAGGAAAACAAACGTCGCCCCAGCGCCCGCGCCAACTCCGTGGAGGGATCGCTGGGCGGAGAGTATCCATAGTCGAGAAAGTCCCCGATGTATGCATTGTTAACCCACTGACAACCACCAGAGCATTCCCTAAGGACTAGGTGGTTGGCCTTTACCGGCGGGAGGGACTGGCCAGTCGCTTGCCACCCCAACGCGTGCACAATTTGGTCGTTTCCACATTCCATATTATAACGCTGCGGAATAGAATACTTCACAATATCGAGTCATTACGGAATGCTGAATAAGTAGTTAGCCGCCATTACAGAGGAAAAAACTCAAATAACAACGAGTAATAATTCCAGGCGTGTGACATAGATGAATTATTGCTTTTTGACACCGGTTGCGGCTCAAGAAGCGACACAAATCGACGTCTGCTCCCACCTTCTTACGAATGCGAACCGTAAAATCGGCAACTTAACAGAGTGCATATATTGTAATCTGGGACCCGCTTGAAACCACCCAGGGCGAACTATGCGGAACGGCGGTGGGCTGTGTGTGTTAGGATGCTGTGCACCCAGCGCTTGCTGATGCATTGCGGCTGCGGAACAAAGCACTTTCTACGTCAGTGCAGGTGGGTGCACATCTGCTATAGTTTAATCACAGCTTTCTACTCCAGATCCACACTCGTATGTAGTCAACGGCGTTCCTCAGGTGGAGGGGGGGGGGGGGGGGCTTTTAAGGTCATGACCCCTTCCCCAAAGTTGGCGGGGGCCAACTGATCCTGAAGCCCGAAGTACTCTTTTATTAGTTTGAGACGCTCGTAGGAATTCTAAAGCATAGGAATGCTCACTCCGGGGGTCAAAATAGAATCCTAAACGTAAAAAGGCTCCCGAAATAGAAGATACACGAACAAAATATGTCTTATCCCGACAAAATGGGGCAACCCTGGCTGAAAGAGGCACTATACCCCAATTTGGCTCCCTCTCGAGTGAAATCCTGGCTACGTCACTGTCTGTAGCCAGCGCAAAGTTGAAACTCCCGACGCCCACCAAAATAACTTATTTTCCGCACAATATGTCGAGCAATTCCCGTATTGGACGATATGTATTCACATTAAAAGTTTTAAAACACATTTCGCTACCTTTTTACTAAGTCCGCACCGATATCATCGGTCAGCGAATTTGCTAATCCATGGAATACAGATCCTGTAATCGCATGAAATCATCACATCATCTCCCATGCCATTTAGAAATGTGCGATGACATTGTTTACCATCTGGTGAAATGCAACAAATTACATAACCTTCAAATAATCAACTAAACGCGCTTATTTTCATGTCTTCATAACACTCGTGATCTTTGTAAAATTGACGATGGGCTGCACACCATACGGAGGTATTTGGCGATCCCTGAGGTCAAGCACCTCGGCTCTGCTCGTGCTGGAGAACAGGTCCGTTCCGGTAACACGGTCGCCGATGCGCTGCGTGAGGCTGCTCGGTCGTGACGTCACTCGTTGGGCCCGCCGCTGTTGCTGGGCGCCATCGGGCTCCAGGCAGCCGGTATAAATACGAGCGGACGTCACGGAACTGTTCAGACACCAACGGCCGTACCGAAAGACAGGTGAGTTGAATTTGTTGTTTTCCGTCTACGACGCGGGGAACATCCCAGCTGGTCTTCCGCTTGGGCCGCTGTTGCACTTTGGCGGCAGATAAAACTGCGGTAACTCTTTGTTCGGAACTTCAGAACAAGCAAAAAAAAGAAGGAAAAGTTAATGACAGGCATTATAAGTGGTGACTGGGGACATGCTTATGCATCTAGAGGGTAAAAGGACAGGGTTTCACAAGGGTTTCCAGTTCTTGTTGCAAAGCGGCAACAGTTGGTTGACCAAATATTGAAATACGAGCATGTTTTCTGTATCTCGTGTATTATTGTCATGTTCGTGCGAAATGACATGCGTTCGAGATCAGAACGTGAATACAAGGGGTGTGGAACATGTTCATCACGCGATAATATGTTGTATGTCACCGAGCTGTAATTTCTTGTCACGAAATTGTTGTTTTCCAGAACGATGAAGCTGGTCCAAATCCACGTCGTGGCCCTGGCTTGCCTCTGTGTGGCATCCGCGTATGTGCCAAAGAAGCTCATTAAGAAGTATGCCATGATGAAGGTCAGTGCGTGAAAACTGGCTGTGTATCGATGACACTATCATGTCCGCTATATGCCGGAACGTGCTCAGTTGGGGGCCAGCACCAGCTGTGTCATTCTCGTTGCCGGGTGTTTGTTTTCACGGTGTCATCCTCGCCTGGGTGAGTGACCCGGCGCATCATCGGACCGTTCCACCGAGCCCTCGCCAACTCATCGCGGTCGCGTATTCCCAGATGGCCGAGAGCTGCTTCGGCGAGCAGGTGATGGACTCCTTCAAGGAGGAGATGTCTGCCGCCTGTGAGAAGTGCAGGGCGGATGATCCGGCCGGCCAGCCCGAGCTCATGGCGCAGTTCGACGCCATCGTCGGAGCCGGGGTCAGTAGGTGCCGGCGAGCACGGACTGTCAGGGCAGGCAGATACGTACTCACCGGCGGACAGGAGCTGTCAGGGCGGGCAGAAACTGTCAGGGCAGGCAGATACGGACTAACGGGCAGACAGTAACTGTCAGGACTGGCGGACAGCAGCTGCCATAGCAGACAGGACCTGTCAGGGCGGGCAGACACAGGGGGGTCGACCGGGGCTATAGCGCAAGTGTCCGTGTGTTCAGCATGTCGCTGTCAGTGGGCAGGGTGCAGGCAGTCAGTGAGCAGAGCTTACCTTGACAGTGTTCCGAGGCGATAGGGGGGAGCAGTGCGTAAACTCTATGAAAGGGAGCTCACATCAGAAACATGCTGTGCGGTCCTTCAAGGCGAGTGCTGTTCGCGACCTTATGCTGGCGTACGCTCACAGTTCTATCGCTCAATGCTCAATCCAGGGCACTTGCACATCTATCATATTTGACCTTTGGTCGTTTGATTCTCACCAACATCATCTCGTCATTACCTTCGCAGGAGTCTCGGCGGAAGAGATCTAGCCACCATGGCTTCACGCCCGAGAAATTGCAGAAGATTCGCGCCAGGATTTCCAGCATGATCGGAAACGTCACCTGCGTCATGAAGGAGTTGAAATTTGTGAGTAAAAGATAGCAACTGAACGGGATAGAAGTAATTCAATGCCATGACAACTCGTGTCAAAACTTGTGAGGATAGCTACATGCTGGCAGGTGCTGTTTACACATTTCCGATTGGTGTATTTTCTTAATTCCTATGATATATTACAGCCAATCGAAATAAGGCATTGCATGTATTTATACCTGCATTCTTAAAGCAACAAATTAGCTCTTTAAGAGCTCTTATGACCTCGTTCTGGGATTCCTGCACTCGTTTAGACACTCGAGCTACCCTAAAATACAAAAATACAAACGCAGCTGGGTCTCTTCACCCGTTTTTATCCCATTTCAGGTGGACGCTGAGAACCAGATTGATCTGCCTTCAATGAAGGAGCGTATCGCTGACATGAACCTGACAAAAAGCCTGAGGGAGGACCTGGAGGAGGGACTCGATAAGTGTAACGACTTTGCCAAATGCCTGCCCAGCTCGCTGGTCGACCAGTCACCGGTCACTCCCGGATTCGGCAGGCAGATGGCCTTCTTCAAGTGTATTAAGGTGGGTTTCTCGCCCAGTGCCATTGCCACTGGCTTGCGTTATGGCTCATACATACATATATATATATATATATATATATATATATATATATATATATATATATATATATATATATATATATATATGTATATATATATATATATGCATATATATGTGTATGTACATATATATATATATATACATATATATATATGTGTAAGAATATATGATTATATGATTACATATATATATATATATATATATATATATATATATATATATATATATGTATATCTGATCACACTATCAATAACATGCAACTATTGCATTCATCGCTACCAGCTCGCGCACAATCGACAACGAGGGATTAGCGTTGGCATCGAACGTCGTAGTCGCGGACTCGTCTAAGGCTGCTTTTAAGGACCCTCGTCATGGTCCAACTTGGTCCGGTGTCGATGTGTTCTTCACCCTGCTTCATGCATAGCCTAATGTTAAACTACAGGCTGCAACAGACAGGACACCCTCAGTGACCGCCACCTTAGGACCGTGTTCGGACGAGGGTGCTGATTGGTGGTGTGCGTTACAGATGGCCAAGGTGGAGGCCTGCATGAAACAGGACTTCCGGGAGGAGTACCTGCCGATGCTGATGGACGAGGGCCTTGAGATTGATGAGGATGAGGCCTTCCAGACGATCGCCTTATCGTTTGTGCAGGGCCGCGGATACTTCTAGAGGTTTGCAAAGAAACGTCTGAAAGACTCCTCGTGACCATTTCAGCCGGAGCTGGTTCTGATAACATTCAGAGTTGAAACAGACGTTCGACGCACGCTGGGCGTTGTACTTTTGGTGGGGCATTTTTGAGGCCTTTAGATCTTATTCCTTGGTACGGTGTTCTTGGTGATGTACTGGAGCATCGGTGCCTTGAATAAAACATTTACACAGAATGTTTGTATGTTTTTGACGAAAAATATGCCATCCGACCGCGGTGGTGTGGGGTTCCACACTGTAACCAAAAGCCAGAGGATACTCTACTGATGCAGACGGCTGAGTTACACACGGTAGTTGATTGGCATGCAGCACTTCGGTCAGTTGTTTCTTCGGCCGTCCTCGGGTACTGGTTGCCTCTGACAACCAGACATGCGGCCGAATCTCCCAAAGATCCAAAATCCAAGAGATCTTTCTACACAACTTTTAAAAGGTCTAGATCTTGAAAGATCTTCCGACATTTGTCAAAACAAGATACTGGATTCCAGAAGGTCGTTTGGAAAGTTTTTCTTAATATCCAGCCTCTAGGATCCTAAAATATCACATAAATATGCATCCCTATTAACTTTTTGGCATCTTTTTGTGATTGCAAGTCTTAGATTACACAGCTTTTTACAAACAACACAATCTTTAGCATAATATATACGTCATGGACAAAGTAGTGTGACAAGGTGCGGCATTGGCTCTGCCACCCCTCAGAATCAAAGCAAGTGCAGAGAAGTGTTGAACACAGTTGGTACAAACTGATGCAAATATTATTATAGCCCACCATAGAGCTCTGGTGGGCTCTCGTATTAGAAACACTATTACATAGAAGCTTGTTTGTAGTGCAGTTGTACATTGTGTCCTGCGCCCCTGCTGGGGCGGGGGTGCGGCGGAGGCGCGCCGCCGCCGCAGTGTCGAGTGTCAGGTTCGCAGGGCCGGTCCCCGGCTCGCGGCCCCCGCTGTCGAGAGCCGCCGTGGGGACACCAGAGAGGGTAGGTGCATCGTCAGGGGGTGCTGTGGTGCGAGACTAGAATGCAGAGAAGTTTTGGTGAAATACTTAGCGTCTCATTACAAAGCTCTCAGTTAGCTTGTTATGACTGACTGCTGAACAAGCAAGCCGACTTTTAATCTTAGTACGATGTTAAGAGGATTATGTCACATTTTGTACTTTTTAGTTTTTAAGTTTAGACGCGTCAAGGTTAATCGGTAAAACCAATTTCTTTCGAAATCATTCTGAAAAGCTCAGAATATGTTTTTTAAATAGCCATTCCGGTGGGAGAAGCCGCACTGGATTCCTTACACACAAGTACAATAATGCTTTTCATATAGCTTGTTTTATCCAACAAGGGTATTCTATAATGTTAGCAATGCACTTATTGGTAATAATGTCAGCGTGTAATAAACGCTAGGAAAGCTTGATACTATTTCAGGAAAAATATGCAAACATAAGACCACTTTCACACGAGTTCAAGGAAATGTTGCGCCATGGATTCGATAGCTCCCCTACGGTGATCAGCACAGCTGCTCTTCTCCACTTCTCACGCACTTTGGCTTTGGCCGAGTGATACTACTCTATTGAGTAGCATCACATGGCCTTCAGTGGCGCACTGATTCAAACCTAGCAATGCGCTTCTCGCTAAATGACGTTCCCCACCCGCAGTTTCACATGGTCTATAATGAGGCCCTGGCTCAAACCTCCACCAAACCTCAAGACACGCGCGATGTGCCCCATAGACTACTAACAATTCGAGTGCGATTGCACAACATGCCGAACAGATATCCTCAAAACCTTTAGAGGGTCACATTACCCCTCCTCGCTCAGGGAGAGGAAGAGAGAGAGAGAGAGAGAGAGAGAGAGAGATAGAGAGAGAGAGAGAGAGAGAGAGAGAGAGAGCGAGAGAGAGAGAGAGAGAGAGAGAGAGAGAGAGAGAGAGAGAGAGAGAGAGAGAGAGAGAGAGAGAGAGAGAAGAGAGAGAGAGAGAGAGAGAGAGAGAGAGAGAGAGAGAGAGAGGAGAGAAGAGAGAGAGAGAGAGAGAGAGAGAGAGAGAGAGAGAGAGAGAGAGAGAGAGAGAGAGAGAGAGAGAGAGAGAGAGAGAGAGAGAGAGAGAGAGAGAGAGAGAGAGAGAGAGAGAGAGAGAGAGAGAGAGAGAGAGAGAGAGAGAGAGAGAGAGAGAGAGAGAGAGAGAGAGAGAGAGAGAGAGAGAGAGAGAGAGAGAGAGAGAGGAGAGAGAGAGAGAGAGAGAGAGAGAGAGAGAGAGAGAGAGAGAGAGAGAGAGAGAGAGAGAGAGAGAGAGAGAGAGAGAGAGAGAGAGAGAGAGAGAGAGAGAGAGAGAGAGAGAGAGAGAGAGAGAGAGAGAGAGAGAGAGAGAGAGAGAGAGAGAGAGAGAGGAGAGAGAGAGAGAGAGAGAGAGAGAGAGAGAGAGAGAGAGAGAGAGAGAGAGAGAGAGAGAGAGAGAGAGAGAGAGAGAGAGAGAGAGAGAGAGAAGAGAGAGAGAGAGAGAGAGAGAGAGAGAGAGAGAGAGAGAGAGGAGAGAGAGAGAGAGAGAGAGAGAGGAGAGAGAGAGAGAGAGAGAGAGGAGGAGAGAGAGAGATAGATAAGGAAGCGAAAATAGGAGAAGTAGAGATAACAAAAAAAGAGAGAGAGAGAAAGAGAGGATAGAGAAGAGGGAATAGAGAGAGGACAGAAGAGAGAGAGGATAGAGAGAAAAAGAAGGAGAGGAAAGAGAGGAGGAGGAGAGAGGAGAGAGAGAGAGATAGAAGAGGGAAGAGAGAAGAAGAGCGAGGTAAGAGAGGAAGATAGGAGAGATAGAGAGAGAGAGATGAGAAGAGAGAGAAGAGAGAGAGAGAGAGAGAGAGAGAGAGAGAGAGAGAGAGAGAGAGAGAGAGAGAGAGAAGCTTAAAGAAAATGTTCCGCATTTCAAGATATTGAAGCAAGCATCGGATCTGATGAAAATAACTCGCTTGCAACTAGTCATATGCTTTTAGTGGAAAAGACCGCCGTAGACAACAATTTGTATTGTTTTTTTAGGCAAAGATGCTACTCAATACGCCACTCTTTTGTGCGATGGAACGTTTGTATGACATTGAGTTGTTGCCGAGAAAGCTGCGCCAAATAGCCACCCTAGCATGGGTGTAAGAACAGGGAGGGCCAGGTAGGCCAGGGCCCCGCACTTTTCAAGGTTGGGAGTGTTAAGTGTTGACTGGCAGTGTTAACAGCAGTGTTAAGTGTTAACAGCAGTGTTAAGTGTTAACAGCAGTGTTAACTGGCCCCCAGCTTTCACATTAAGGCTGCGTTTAGCTTACCTTTGCACTACGTTAAACATTTATATCGATTTACCTAGTCCAGCGGTCATCTTCCTCAAGATGCGTCATCTTTTTCATATGCTTATTGGCCACGAGGTTAGTGTTTCAGCCACGAGGTCGACAGCGCGCGGCCTGCGGAGACTGCAACGCCGGACGTCGAGGTTGCTTCTTTGACTTGCGAGTGCGCATGTTCCGAACCGTACTACATAGTTTTTTTTATCAGTAAGCGATTCGGATCGGATTTTGAATATTTCAAGTCGAGCATGAATTAGCCATGTGAATATAAATTTAGGACCCCATTTCATCTACAATCTACTTTCAGGGAGTCCTCAATATCTCTGAAGGGCGCAGAAAAACATGGAACTGAAGTTTGTGTGAGAACTACTGGACCGCCTACGGCGATCAGGGATGTTGTTGCGTCAATGAGAGTTCCTGTGCTGATCCGGGGCCAACTGCGTGTGTCAAATGGCCTCCTGTGTCATAGAGGGAAACAACGTGAACGTGAATATTATATTGGAGTGCGCATACTCATGATTATGCCTCATAATTTGCATCGCTAATTGATTTAAGTGTATGAAGGCAATTTTTCAAAACGTCATCATTTTCGTCCACCGGTGAGTCTCGACTAAAGATTAGCCGCTGTGCTAACGCTGCGCGGACTATGGAGACTGCAACGCCTGGCGTCGATATTTTTGTTGCTAGCGAGTGCAGTTTGCGAGCGCGCATGGAAAAACACGTTTCATAAGTTGCATCTCTATTAGATTCTGACTGGATGTTAAACATTTCCAATCGAACATCGCTTGGCTACGTTCATACACATTTGACTACTCGAATACAGCCAAATTTTCGTCTTCAAATTTCGATCCAACATATCGCTCTACAATCTATCTTCACTATGTTCTTAATGTCTGCAGAACACGCAAAAATTCTGACGGAGCTTTTTAACTCTATCTGTTTGGAAAGGGCTCACAAAGCCATTGTAAATAAACGGCACCGGTGATTTATTTCATGCGGTCGCTCAGCACCTGATTTCTGCAGTTTATTGACTTTAAAATACACGCAAAATTGATCTCACGGTAGCTTCTGGTTTCCGCCCTGGTTATAAGATGAAAATAACAATAAAACTAAGAAAACCGTGTCCATTGTTAACTACATCCGGAAATTTTTGGGAAGGGGTTCACCCATAGGCGTAGGAACGTTTCAAAAAATGGGGGAACCAAGCTCAGGGTATACTTAAGGAAATTTTTCTGGAAAGCGAGCCGATGACCGGGGGGGGGGGGGGGAGTAGGGATGGAGTTTGCTATTGCTCTTTAACCAAATGTCATGGTTGCTATGCTATATATGCATCTAGAGCTGATTCTCACTGGTGCACAATCTTGCCTATTCGACTCATCTGTCACTTGGCAAATAAGGCTTCCCAAGATTATTTGCTCATTTTGACGTTGTCGGTCCTGGGGAGACGACATTCCACGAGCGGGCAGGCATTTTGGATCATTGAGGAAGCATCCGCCTCCACAGTGTACATGCCAAAATAAGGCCTGGCTATAGGCTGGTGAAAATTTTGAAAGTGGATCGATGGCTCACAGTGCGAAGGATTTTCACGCGTCTGCTTTTCGCTGGCTGCTTTTCAAGAGATAAGACATGTCGCAGCATTTTAAGCGGAAACAAATTATTGAAACCGCTAGAAACAATGACAAAAGCCTTTATACTGGAGGCTCTCTTTTAAGAATCAAGCCACATAATAAGGCCCAACTGTCATCTATTCCTTGTCTGGGCCATGCTCCTGTCCGCCGTCGGTGGCCACTGCCCTGGCCGGGATGTCTCCCGCATGACTGACTGCAAACTGATCTTATGGCTGCTTTGCTGCATCCTTTTAGATCAACGTTACTAC